TCTTTCCCTCTTTCTCATTTTCTTACTCCCTCCCTCTCTTGCACCCTCCTCCCACCTCCCAATTCTGTCAGCACTCAGCACACGGCCAAGGGAAGAGCAGAGATGGCGGTGGCTGAGACACAGCTGTACGCAAAGGTGTCCAACAAGCACAGGAGCAAAAGCACCTCTGTACTCCTCGAGTCTCTCCTCGCCAAAGGATTCCCGGCTCATATCGCGTGAGTAACGTGTTCAGCTGCCTTTGCACAGTACAAGGTATTTAAGATATAAAAGGTATTTCTCATAAGGCTCTGGCAGCAGGCACCTTGCTTTTTTCATCAAGAGAGCGCGCTGCTTCCTGGGAGTGATGTCCCCGTACAGGCATCAGACCTGTCTTGCGTGGAATTTCTTGTAGAGCAGCGTGTACTGCTCGTATTGCGAAAACAACCTGCTCTGTATCCCTTTTTATAAATACCGTGTGTATCTGAAGACACACGCCCTTCTGCATCTTCAGATTGCGAGGCTTCCCAATGAGCTAAGAAGTTGATGTCCATAGTTTGCTCTTGGGATATATGGTCTTTCATTTTTTCTGCTTATCACTGTTATTATAAGGGAGTTAAATGTGGATGTAACTTCTAACCAAAGTTTTTTTCAGGGCTGGAAAAGATCTCCTGCTGGATTTTATCACTGGAAACTGTTTTAAAAGAGTAAACTTTCCTTAACAAGATGCCACATAAGCATGTCAATTTTTCTTTCTGTCTTGAATCAGGATCTTGTTCCAAAATCATGCCCTACCTGGAAAATGTAACAATAAAGAATGAGGCAGTATTCTTGGCAACCCCAATGGATGAGAGATGAACTGGTGGCAGTTAACCAAGTTAATAAAAAAGAAACATGGTGGTCAATCATCCCCCAAACATCAATCTGGCTGGACAGGGACATTTTGAGGAGGATTTTCCAAATTCTAAGGGGCAAATATGAACACTTTGGATCAAACCGTTTAAAAAAATAAATCTTTTTATTTTATTTTATTATCAAAGAACCCCTCATAAAAATATTTTAGAAAGGAGAGCAGCTTTTGACTGAAAATTAAGCAAGTTGAAAAGGTTCCGTTTGTAAGTGCTGTGTTGGTTTTTTAGGAACAGCTGTGTTTAGTGGATTAACTTTAGACACAATGGACAGAGCTTACAAGGAAACCATGGGTCCCTTGTCCCCAGATATGCACAGTGGAATTTTAGCCATGCAGCAGAAAACCTGGCTCATCATTTTTCTAGTAATACCACAAATTCGGTCACCCCAAAGTAATGGCTAATTTTTGAATTTTTTGTCCTGTATATGATGCTCTTCAAATCCCCTCAAAACACTTTCTGCTGTTACTAAGGTGGCTTTGTGCTTCCCAGGTCAAAATCAAGAAGTATTGGCAGTAGTACTATGCAAATCAACATAAAAAGAAAAAATGTCCAAGAGCACTTTATTTTTTAATTTATTTGCTTTTATTGACTTTAAGACCTTCAAAATTTTGGTTACGTTTTTATAAAACTTTTTAGCTGTCACTGTAGTTCCTGGATTGAACCATAAATGAAAGTACTGAAAAGTTGTTCTTTTGAGATGTCCCGGCCTGAGAAAAACGAGGCTGTGTGGAAATATTACAAAATCTTTTGTAATGCAGCACCAGCATGCCAAAGCAGCATTTCCCCAAAGAACAAAAAACAAATATGTGAGGATCAAGTCTAGCAAAATGGGCCTCCCCTGGTGCTTACACAGAACTGAACTGTGTCAGCAGTTTCTGCTTTAGGGAAGAGCCAGTTTATTCTCGCTGTAAAGACACTATTTTTAATACAGATTTTCAATGGTTTATACCTGCTCTGCATCTGAGAGAAATTGGTATATACAGAATTTATTGTATGCATTATCTTTCAATCTTCGCTGCTCATCTTGGAAGCACAGCATGTCCAGTCACAGCCTAACGCTCTCCTGACACTAAGGGCTCTACAAACCCTTAGGATGCCGGGAAGCATCCTACAGCCGACGTATATGATGAGACAAAAGGTGGGAACAGGCACAGCGAGAAGCACAAGGGAGCAAGGAGATAGCACTGAGCAGCTTGACAGTCCACGGCCTCAGGTCTCACTTGTCTTGTTACGTTTAAGGTTTTGCAGGTCCTATGGTAAAGAAAAGCTGAAGTCAAGCTCCATTTGGCTTCAGGGCTGTTTGCACAAAGCTCCTCTCCGAGTGGGAGGAGCAGCATGGCATGAAGCAGTAAAACACTCACTTGAGGTGTAACGAGTGGCTGACAAAGTCTGGCATCGTTGGCCGAGCGGCGGCAGGCATTTTTTTTTTGACATTTCAACAGGACACGCAGGAAGGGCTGCATGGGGAGAACGACAGAAACACGGGTTGCTTGTGTTTGAGGTGATGAAGGGGGAGCCAGCAGAGGAGTGGAAAGAAAATGTGCAGTATTCAGTCACAGAGGACACGGGCTAGTTTCAGCACAGCTAGCTCATGGGTCTGCATTGCTTTAGCCGTGGTACTTGATTCATTTTACAGAGAAGAAAGGTAGAAGGTAAATCTTGAGTGGACGGATTGACGTTAGCCCTCATCCACTAAAGAGCCAGGCATGGCTGCACACACATGTACATTTAAATGTTTTTTAAAAGCCCGTATGTCATTTTTGCTGGAGAGCAGTCAGAAGGTTAGGAGGACACACCAAGAGCAAACCTGAGTCCTGCTGCTTCATGCGCTCACTGCACTGCTGGTGTGTGCCCAGGTGTCACAGGGATCGATGGAGGATAAAGACATGAGGAGACTAAATGAATCAGTGCCCTCAGGATCCAGTGGCCAGAAAGGATGGCCTCAAGAGAAAAGGGAAGAGATGAGAGATGCCAAGTGATTTAGCATGTTTTCCTCCATGTCCACTGTCTCTACTTCCCCTTCATGTCTCTTCTGAGGAGTTTGTAGGTGAGTTTAGGGCTGGAAATGGGGTTCATGGGTGCAAGTGTTACTTAAACACTGGAATCCTTCACCTGTCACCTAGCGTTTAGGCACAAAGACTGGTTCATGTGAAGCGCATAGTTGGCATTTTGAAAGCTCTAGTGAGAAAAGAAAACACAAACCAAATACAATCCCAGAGAATGACAGTTGCATTAACAGAAGGAAACGTGAGATATTGTCCCTCATCTTGGACTGAACTGGTGGCTTAGATCTGGCTCTCTGCTGGCCTATGGGAGATCCTCAGTCCAGATTTTCAAACCCCAATATAAGCATGTTTTGCTTTGTTTATGTATATGTATGGGCTTGGGCCTGGCATCTTGAACCAGAACATTATCCTACAAACCGAGCAAACCCTGCTCTTACAGTGCCTGGTTGGACGGTTTACCCAACCCTAGGGAAATCCATATAGTCAGTAGGGCTGCTAAGGAAACACCTCCTGAACACGAAGGACGACATCCTGCGGGGAGGACAGGTTACCAGTCTTCAAGGAATTAAAGATTTGCAGAGTTAAAAAATGGAATTAAAGACCTGCAGTGAAAAAAAATATCTAGAGGGCTTCAAGAACGTTAACATTTGCTGGGAATAACCTAGTCGTTAAAGGTCCTGGCTGTGCCAGAAAATAGACTTGGTGACCACAACATATCCATTCTTTACTTTCTAGGAGTTTTCTTTCTGTTATTCTGATGAATCCATTTTTGGTTTTTTCCTAGGCAAAAAGCCTTGGCTGCTACTGGACAAAAGACAATAGAAGATGCTGCAAAATGGTAAGTATCTGTCATTTCTAAGGAGTGCTTTTGCATCAAACCTGGCTAAAAATTCTTGTTCATGTGCTGATTCTGTCACAGAATTTGAAGTTAGCCGCCTTCAAAAACCCTGCATCTGAGGGTTGGGTTTTTTCTTTTTAGTTTAGTTCACATAGAGAAAGAAATGATTGTATTTGTACTTATTTTGGGAGGCGACGTTATTTGCAGAAGGTCTGGGGAAAACCAAAAAACGCTGGGCAGAAAAGGGCAGCCGTGGGCAGAAGCAGCTACTTTTCCCAAAGTGATGTTAGTCAGTTCACGGGACCGGGTGCTCTGAGCAGACACCGCTCGGTTTTAACCTTCCTGCGTATTTATGGCCATGGCCACTGAGGTCTGCTCACTGCCTCTGGAGGGGGTTCCTGCACCCCGAGCCAGAATTGTGGGCACGCACCGGGGCACGTCCGGGAAGGTGCTCGGAGGCACCCGCGGGGTAAATGTCCTCCCTGCCTCGGCACAGCGTTCACACCTTTGGTGCACCAAAGGGCAGCAGGCACAGGGCCCGAGCGGGGAACCTGGGCTCTCCATCCCGACGGACAGAAGGAAGGAAACAGGGAAAATACCTGTAAACCTGTGGCTGCAATTACAAACACGTGCAGTAACAACGTGGGGTTAAATGGCACTGGCTGAAGGCAAAACAGGTCAGAGGGAGGTATCACCAGAGTCAAAATCCCTTGTTAGTCTTGATCCCTACAAAATTTTTTCTTCTGTGCCAAGACTCTCACAGAGTATTCATATATTATTCATATGCTGATAATTGATTTTTTTTGCTTTAATGCACCTTCACATTAAATCCAGTCTTTCCTTACACTTTCTTCCGGCTTTTGTTTTGGGTTTGGGGTTTTTTTGCTTGGTTTCATTGCTTTGGTTTTTCTTTTTTTTTTTTTAATGAAAAGCCAGAGGAGACATTTGAGAATGGCATGTTCTTCCCAAATAATTTATTGTCAGGGATGCTACCACGCTTTCCAACATTCACTCCCAAACTAACAGCTGTGCAGCCGAACATACAGCACATGAAGAACAAGGTGAAGGATATCATCACAAGGGATACGAGCTTCTGCTTTTTGCTTGTGCATTTTCTGATTTGTCTTGTTTGCTTTCACAATAAAAAGGCTAGCGCTTTTTGAGTATTTTTTAAATATTCAGTTAGTTTTCATTTTGTGATTCTTCAACATTTTCTACCCATCGACTTTTTCCTCTTCCAATCCTCTGTTTCCAGTCATGAAAAAGGGGGGGGGGGGAACCAAACAAAAAACCCTAAAAAAATCTTTTTTATTGTCTTTCATTTTCAGACATTGAAAGAAGTGAAGGCATATAATAAAATGCAAAGTACACAAAAAATAAGCAGAAAAAAAATCTGCATTAGTTAGTACCTCAGACAGAAAATTTGTAAGAAGTCTTTTTTTCAGCTTTTCATTTGTAAGAAAATAACAACCTTGTATTTTCTTTTTCTGGTCTCTACTATGGATGCCTTCAACCACAGGAAACAAAAGTAAGCGGTGCACACACTTACTCTCTCTGATATGCTCTTGATTTCAGGTTGCATGCGCACTGCAATGATCCCTCTTTGGATGACCCAATCCCTCAGGAATATGCTCTCTACTTGTGTCCCACCGGCCGTTTGCATAACCACCTGCAAGAATTTTGGAAGGAGAGCAAGCGCCAGTGCGGGAAAAACAGAGCCCACGAGATTTTTCCACACATCACTCTCTGTGACTTCTTCACAGTAAGGCACAAAAGACTTGCAAGGGTCAAATATCAACTGCTGGTGAAAGAGGGCCACCTGCAGTAGTCTGACACCAGAACTTCTCCTTGGTGATCAAATTAACATGACCTAGGTCCAGGCATGTTTGCTTAATATTTGAGTGCTCAGCCCCTCCATAGGCACCGTGGGCTTTCTTCCCAGCACCTGCTTTAGCTACCCACCTTAGGCCTCAGCATACCTAAAAATAGGACACTGGGGCCAGTAAGATGTTTTGGGGTAGCTGAGTGACATGTGTCTAGCATCCATCTAGAGCAACCGTGCGCAGTCCAGGCTGCGCAGCAGGAAGCACTGCTTCCCACGTGCAGCTATCGGCAGGCTGGAGAGACCCTGCCCATCGCTGCATCCACCTAGGATGTCAAACCTGCCCACCCAGGGCAGCAGTGGCTGCCTTCAGCCAACTGTGCAGCAGTGACTACGTTGTTGTAGCACGTGGACAACTTTGGTATTATGGCTATGGGAATCTCAGGGAAACCCCTGCCTCCTCCAGAGAGCCCCAGCCAAAAGGTCATTCTGATGGTGGCATGTCCCAGTCTTTATCCTTTCTGTTGAGGCTTGGATGTTGTGAAAAAGAAAGAAGCAGAATGCACAGGGATGGAAGGAGCGAGGGCAGCTGAACTGGAGTCCAGCAGTGCAACTGAGTCACTTTGTCAATAATTTAACATGGAAGTTAGGCTCTTGATCTGGACTTCTGGTGGGCCGTTTTCTGGTTCTGAAGATAGTACTGTCCTCCTAGGTGGCCTTCTGAATGCTGGGTAACCCTCTAGAGAACCTCCCAGCAGACCTGCTTCTCCTGCATAGGTGAATGTGCCAGTTACCAGCAAAGCCCAGCTAAGAGTCACTGGTCTGGAAAAACTCTGGAGCCACCTGGAACCCAGTTTCCACATGTTGATGGTGCAGCACATGAACATCAGCTGCAGCTGAGAAGTGCTGACACAGAAATGAGCTAAAGCAGATGGACAAAAATTATTCTGTTAATCACACTTTCATGCTAAACCACGCTACTAAGTATAGACAGTGAAAATGAGTATTTTGTTGCAAAATATCGAACAGGACTCTGTGGCCATTAATCACAATTATACAGAACAAAAATCATTAATTAATAACGAATGCCATGCTCTTGAAAGGTGTCAAGTGCAGGCGTGGGTGTGGGAGCTGTGTGGGACAACACCTCAAATCCCAAGCACTAGAATGTTTTGCGGTCTGGTTTTGTCCTGTGTGGTGTTTTTGTGGGTGGTTTTTCGGTGGTGGTGTTTTTCTGTTGTGTGTGTTGCTTTTTGGTTTTTGGGGGGGGGTTTTGGGTCCACTCCTGGAAGAGTTGACCGAATTGCAACCCTCACCTCGCACACCTCAGCCCCATTTCTGGTAGCATATTTCTAGGGATAAATGTGGTGCTGTTCTCTGCTCCTCGGCTGCCAGCAAGAGCTGAGCTGGGTGCCCCACCGGCAGAAAGCAAGACCGGCTGACCTGGCTGCCACCTCCTTCTCCCCATCCAGCCCTCTCCTGTGTCCTGACTCCCCACGTCTCGCGCAGCTCGCGGGCTTGCTGGCCCCGGAGGATCCTGCTGCGCGGCACTTGCCCTGGTGCAGGATCCCACCCGTCCCCATCCCCACACAGCCCCGTCTGCCCAGTGCCCCTCAATGCACCCCTCCTCGCCACGCCTCAGCCTCGCCGGGAGGTGGGCTGGTGGCCCGAGAAATGCTCTAGAAAGAAAGACGATCTAAGCAGGAGGAGGTGGTTCTTCATAGCTCCTTTCTTCTCTTCTTGCTCGTCCCCTTCAGCAGCTTGACCCACTGTGAAGGCTAAATGGTGCAAATGGCTCTGCTGAGGAGAATAAAGCCGCAAGGAGATGGAGCATCATTAATGTTTCTGTCTTTGGCTGGATGGCACAAATTCCATCTTCGCCTCCCCACTTTTTAAATTAATTGCCACTTTCTGTGGAAGCATGGCTCTCTACATTCCTTTAATTTGCCGTGATTAGAGTATTAAAGCTCACAATAACAAAGATGCCCCGTGAATTTTGCTATGTATATTGCTCAACATCTGAGATCTTGAAGTTTTAACAGGAGCGATTTCAGCTAAGGACTGGTGGATTAAAAATAACACAAAAAATACTTAGAATTGAAGAGGGAAATCATGATCCCTGCCTCATTTCAGATAGGTTACTGCACACCTCTCGGATAGTAAAATCTTTTGGCTCTTTCCTACCCAGGCCAGGTACACCTCCTGGCAGAGGCTCCACCTCCTATTATAGCACTGGGATACTGCACTGACCAAACCGCCCAATATTAATTATTTTAATACCAGAAGTTTCAGGCAAGTTCGCAGGTGTGTTGCCTTTCTCAGGAAGTCTAATACCCGCCTTGTTTTCTGGTGTTGCTGTATGAGACAGGCTACAATAGTGGCTGTTGAGCTGGTGGGTGAAGCATGTTCCTCCTCTGTTTTCTTTCAGTGTGAAGACCAGAAAGTGGAATTATTGTATGACACCTTAAAGCGAGTCGGTGACAGCTTTTCTCAGTGCTTTCCACCATCCATTTCCCTATCACTACATTCATCCGCCAGCTACCTTGGCTTCTTCATTGGTGACAACCATGCAAATATCCTCAAAGAGTTCGCTGTGGCGTTCTCGTCAGAGGCTTCAGCCCTGGCAGGTAGGACCAACATCAGAGGGAAAACGGGTGAGTTGTAGCACAAATGCTTAGGCATGATTCTGTGTCTCCGGGGGAGCTTAGCTCATGTTTTACCACCAGAAAGCACCCTTTCCTCCTACAGATCTGAAAACAACATGGCTATGGGAGTATGTTTCAGACTTTGAAGACACAGTGCTTTTATCTAGAAGCTGATATGGTTGGCTCTCTAACTTTATAGGTGGTTGATTGGGACATCTAAAATGGGCAGGGATCTAATACTCCCTATTCCCAGACTTCCATCCCCATGGTGCTGCAAGCCCAGCCTAATGGCCCAGCTGCATCCCTGAAAAATAGGTCCTAATTCCCACTCCAGTGACATCCAAGGGAAACTACATCACCAGTGGAGACTGAAGGCAGATAGCCCCAGAACAGCTTTTTCTGGTAGAAACAAGTTCAATACATCTCAGACTGGGAGAGGAATTCAAACCCTGTTTGGTTTTTTTTCTCCCGGCTGAAGACAGGGAGCAAATCCTGTCCAGATTTGTGAATTATTTTGGTGTGGTTAAAACCATGACATTCTGCAAAACAGTTATTCAGTAAAACTATGATCTACTCTACTACTAATTACTATGATATTTCCTGCATCATGAAAAGCATCTAGGATAAAACAAGAAAAAGAACTCAAATGACCTTCACTTCTATGTTGTGACGTGATTATTTCCATCCTAGATTGCCATGTGAAGCCCTGCCTAAAGCAGCTCCACCTTACCTTGGCTCACAAGTTTTATCCTCACCACCAGAAGACTTTGGAACAATTGGCCAAATGCATTAACCCAGGGGAGTCCTGCCAGTGGGTGGCTGCTCTCTATTCACGGGACATACGTTTTGTGCACTACCAGGTACTGTCATCAGGTTTATTTAATTTCCTGAGCCCATGGTCAGACTCTTTGCTACAGTCATCTTACCTTTTTGTTCATTAAGCAAATCAGTCCATGCACAGTACAGTGTTTCAAAAAGCATGGTTGTTTCAAAGACCTCTTTGGGTTGAAAAACTACTCTTGAATCAGTAGAAGATACCTTTATGGTACCTGCATGTCAGCAAGGTCTAATTCCAAACACCAGCAAAAAAAATAATCTTACCATGACATGAGAAAATAAAAGAGACAGGAAATTATGATCCTTGAATATTTGCTAGGATTTGTCAGATCACAGCTTTGTAGTAAAATTCCACTAAGAAAAATTAGTTCCTTTGATTGTTCCAGCCATGATGAAAACTGCACAGTTTAAATATCAGCGAGCAGGGCACAGTTCTCATTGATGATTTTCTGCTTAAGAGACTCTTAGCTAAAACAGTCAACATTTTTCCAGATCTCCTTTCCAAATTTAAATTATATCAAGATTTTTTAGTCAGATCAGTATATTGCTTTGTCACAAGTGTCATATTGGATTTTGGTCACACTCAGGAGAGCTACAAGTAGTCACAAAAATAGCTGATAACACTTTTTCTACGTTTGCTTTCAAATAAGTCTGTACTTGTTACAGGGAAAAAAAATTATGAAAACCAAGTGCCTATTTTTACACATGCTGCAAATGCGGTATTGTCTTCCTTTTTCTCTGCCAAAGCACCAGTAAAGAGCAAGTTGCAGAGTGGAAAACAGTACTGGCCACCATGTCCCGTAGGGAGTTGGGCAAGCGTGCCCTGAATCTTTTCCCGGGCAGCAGCCTGACCCCGCTGCCTGTTTCCCCCAGAGGCTGAGGGCTCTCTTCCAGTACAAGCCCCAAAACATTGACGAACTGATGATCAACACCGGGGACTTCATCTACGTTGACCCGACACAGCAGTCCGACGTGAGCGAAGGCTGGGTGATCGGGACCTCACACCGGACCGGCTGTAGGGGTTTTCTTCCCGAAAACTACACTGAGAGGGCAAACGAGTCAGACACGTGGGTTAAGCACAGGCAAGTCGCGGTTGTCTCCACAGGTGCTGGGGTTTCGCGAGGGTTGCTTGCTTTATGTCAGCCGCCCTTCCTGCTGGGGAGCCGTGGGAGCGTTCCTCCTTGCTGCGAGCTGCGAGCTCCCGGGCGGGAGCTGGAGGCAGCCTGGGCAGAGGAGAGGGGGCTCTGGGTGGGATGCTGAGACTTCTGGAAGAAAAGATGTAGGACACACACCCACAGACACACGGAGTTCAGTAGTTCAGCTGCTCAATGGGTGAGCCCTGTTTGCTCTTGAATCACCTGAACATCCTAATGAATTTTGAAAGACCACGTTCTGCCGGGCAGGCTGAGCCATCCGCCTGGCTCACCGCTTTCTTCTTTCTCTTTTTTCATTTCAAGAGCTTGCAAAGTTAACTTGAAACTACACGCAGTTTACTCCACCACCTTAAGCCCACCCTCATCTTGTTGATTTACCCTCTATCAGCAGGCATCTCTCTGGCTTCCGGCACTTTGCTCTGCAGCTGACAGCGCCGCGGGTGCTGCTTGTAGATTAGAGCTGATTTTTCTAAGCAGGGAGGTGTAGGTGCACTTCTTGTTGAGTCCTCAGAGGCAGAGAGGAGACAACCAGGTAGTATTTCCTGTTTGAAAAGCACACTTTAGCAGGGTTACACCCAATCCATGCCGTCAGTTCATATTAGTTTAACCTCATTTTTACTGGACAGATTCTAAATCAAGAACAAGGTGATGAATTGGATTGCAAGTGTGCAAAAAATATTGAATGCAATACGAATCCAGACTTACAAGTGTCTGTAGACAAAAGCATGACTTAAAAATCCCTTTTATTTGTGTGTGCACCCATATGTTTGTGTGTGTGTTGCTTCTGCTTTTTCTACAGGGAATATGTTTTTGGAACAGCTTCGAGATTCTTCACCCAAAATCAAAATGAATCTAATGTAAAGCTGAATGGAGAAGTCCATAATCCTAGAATGTCAAGGAGTGTAACCAATGTACTTTCTCTTCAGGTAATTGTTTTTCTCCATTTCTTATCTTTGCCAGGTGCTCGTGCAGATATACTGTCAATTAAAAGTATTTAGTAAATGTAATAATATCTTCCTTTTTCTCCCTCACATTTTCATGTTATGTTGTAATGCACATATATATATACACACACTCACACGCTCATGCCATATGATATAATATCTCATAAATATTTTGTAACACATGTATATTACTCTTGCCTTCTTTCATAAAACTCTTGATTCCTGTCATAATAGCACAACATGTGAGTTCTCTGCTCAGGTTTCTCTGTGCACAGCCTTACTGGGCAAGCCGTGAAGAGCTATAGCAACAAGTCTGACAAGTGGGATGCAGGCACAACTTCCCCTGACTTTCATATGGGTTCGTAGCAGAGTAACTAGAGCAGAATTAGGTTCGTTGTTCATTGTTAACTTTTATGTCTAGATCCTATGGATGTCACCTTGGCGGCTTACACGGTCCCAGATCTTAGCACATTTAAATGTTTCATTTTCTTTGGTATTTTTAGATACATAGCTAATACAAATCACTGCATAGAACTGCAGCAAGAGAACAGATAGCTGGAAAGGTTAGCAGCACTGATGGGATTACATTTTTGTCCCAGTTTCAAAATCAACATGTATCATTTTTTCCCCAGGTTTTCCACTGGTCTTCCAGTAGGAAGAGCAAAACAAATAAGGACTCTGGTTTTTTACCTACAGCACATTTGCACCTGCACTGCCTTTTTGGCTTTGACTGTCAGGGATGCCAAAAGGGTCTTTTCCGGCACGCTGACGTGCTGCAGAAACCCTTTTGGGCTTGCTGGCCCCATGCCCTCTCTTCTCACTGTGTTGGGAGATAACCCCACGTTCATTTCTGTTAACATCAAAGAAACTTGAGGGCACCTTGAGGGAACTTCCACCCTGGGGTGTCCCAGGATGCTGTGTGTACCACTCTAAGGCAGAAACTTCTCCAGGAGTCACACGTCCTTCCACTGGCCTCTCTTATCTATCTCAGATCTGTGGTAGAGCCACCACTTGGCCTGAGGAGCACATTTTGCAGATGTGCACATCTCCAGTCTAGAGTTTCCCCAGCCTCTGGGTTCCTCCCAAGCAGAAGAGTAAGACCACAAAACCTTAGTTTTAAACCCTGATCTTGTGGCGGTTGATTTGTGTTTCATGGCAGAAATGCAACAGTGTTTAGCAGAATACATGAATATAAATCTCATACCACTTCTTAAGAATTTCCTTCTCTGCTGCTGAAGATACACATCACTAACATCAGTGCTGCAGCAGTAACGCTGTGACAGATTACTGATGAAAAAGTTTTAAAGCCTTTGACCTGTTCCTTCTTATCTTCTCATCTGTATTTAATGTGCATTGTATACTAACCCCAAACTACTTAGAACTTATTCGTAATTCCATGCAGTCTGAGTAAAAAAGTGGCCTCAGAGATGATCTGGGTTCACTGTTGACTTGGCCACACAGTTATGAAAATGTAAAAGTAGTGTTTTCAATAGGAAAAGAAGGATAAGCTTGATGTTAGTCCTGATGTAGAAAAGAAAACTACCACTTAAATCTTAGCTAGTTTTCCTCTTTTGCTTATATCAACCATATGATTTATATTAAAATTATAATTCCTTCCCACACTGGAATTAAAAGATCTGTTATCAGCACTACCTTTCACTAGTGTAAACACAGAATTAAAATCTAATCTCTAGCCCATTAAGGCCAGGGTTCTCTTTCATTTGCCTCCAGTGGAGAGCCATTCAATCTTACTATTGTCCTAAAGATAGGCATCTATTATAGAAGCTCCTTTCTCTCCCCACCCCTGCCCCATGCTTGTTATAAACCTCCTAGGACAGATCTGCTGTTCCTTCCTCCACCAGTCAGCATCCAGGAATCCAGACTTTTCATGCAGGTTATATATAATATCGTAATGAAAAACCCTTTTTACACAGCTGTCTCAGAATGCCACCCTGCGAAGAGGCGTGTGAAAGAGTTGATCAGGTCTTTGGCAAATCTTGGCTTCAACAGTGCTTGACTGCAGATGGTGAGTATGATAATGGGAGGATCTTAGCAAATCAGAACCAAAACCAATTAACCCCAGTAATGGGTACAAGGGATTCAGCCTCCTACATGTAAATGTAAACACTGACACAAGCGTGAGTAACATTGCAAGTCAGACACAGCACTGCTTTGACCTGCACGTAACCAGTTCATCATGTCCTAAAGTCCTTCATGTTTGTGTTGGATAAACTCTGCAGAACAAGCAAAGCTCTTGTGATGCTGACAGATGTGTGTCTCACTGACAGATGTACAAAACACAAAATCTCTACTGCTCGTGACACAAGGTGGTGGTTGTCAGACCCTTTCACCTTTCCGCCCTTGAGTCAGGATCTTGGTCCGCTGATCGGAGCCACAGTACGTCACTAGTCAAACCTGGGGAAGAAGAGCAAGAGCAAACCATGGTGGAAGTGAGATGTCAGCATGACCTAAATTAAAAGCTGAAGTTCTTGGCCCTCTCCCTCAAAAAAAGTATGTTTTGAGGCGAAGAAAACTGACCCAGAAGAGGGAAATATCTCTCAGGAGGAAGGAGGGGAACAAGAAGGTGGGAGTTCAGAAAGGAGAGTTTTATGCTGAAAGTCTCCTTTGTTATGCTGGAGATCTCCTATAGGAAGTGTGCGAAATTCATACTAGATAATGAGAGTGGTACCTTCTTGTGGCTGGCTGCATAATCAATTCATTGGTTTCATTTTTCTTCAGCGTAAATGTTGTTTAAAAGAATATTGATATCTGTTTCACTGGAGCCCCACGAAGCTGGGTTCTCATGATTTCCTGTCCTCTCTCTTCTCCCCACCATTTGCTCCTTCAGAGTTTGCAGAAGAGGTGCTCTTTCGTTAGGTCAGGTGATTTCCCAAGCCAGTGTTAAATGTGACCTTAAAATGTGACCTCTTTAAGGTAATAGCCATCACCGTGTTTGTTTCATCAGTGAGACACAGACTATGTCTGTAGTACTAAAATAATCCTGCAGGCATCTGAGTGCAGGCACTGCCCCATGATCCCCCAAACTGCTTAGTTGTTAGCTGTCTCCTCGGCATGGTCTCAGCTGATGGCAGCTCCCCCACATCCACATGGTTTCCAGGCAAGATCTGGGGAGACCACAGCCCACAGTCAGTCTCCAGTGGACAGACCGCGTGGGTGTTTGAGGTGGAGGGCAGAGACACTACCTCCTTGGGCAGACGCCGTGCTTCATCACTTGCCCTCGTGGCCGGAGAACGGGCCTCGACCTGTTCCATTTGCCAGTCGAGGTGTCTCTCTGAGCTGAGTTTTCAGAACCAGCCACCCAACCATTCAGGAGAAATGAAGCCATTATACCAAGATGTGCGTTCAGCTGCTGCCTCCCTTGTGGCGCAGCAAAACGTCCCACCTCATTTCAGGAAAATACTACAGAGCAGATCTGAACTTCCCTTCCACCCTGCCGAAGCGGCAAGACAACGTGAAGCATTTTGAAAACGACCCTCCTTTATCTTGCTGTGGTGTTTTCCAGTCAAGGCTTATAGGTAAGCTGGATAATACCTTACTGTAAACGTAAGGGCTTGGGAAGCAGGCTTTCATCATCTGCAAAAGCTCACGCTGGCTTTGCAGTAGAAAACCTTCCTCGCAGCGCTCGTTTGCGGTAACACTTCCCTACGGGCAACCACTGCAAGGTCTTGTTACACGGTAAAACAGAGAGCGGGCCTGGTTGCTCACCTCTGAGAGCCATTCTGCCAGCTCCTGGCAAAGAAAGTCAAGAGAAAGAAGCTGCAACGCTACCTGTGCCCTGCTGCGTGTCTGCAAGGCACCAGCGTCTTACACAGGCCTGGCTGAATGGCCAGAGGAAGCAGCTTCGTGGTCAGCAGAGGGTGGTCACCTCATCACAGGTACCTGGTGGCCGGGTGGTATGGGTCAGTCTTACCCAACTCACTCGCCAGGTGAAGTTGTTTCTGCTGCCTGAGCAAGCACGCCCGACCGCGACCGTGCAAGTCTGGCGCAACGCTTGTCTCTGCTGATTCAGATACATGGAGGCAGACAAATGCCCAACTGCTGTTTGCAGATTTGGAGTGAATCTTCTGTAATTACCTTTCCCACACTCATTTTAAACTTGCAGTTGCCACCAGAATGAGCTACTTAGTGAGATCAGTCAGCCGATAGCATGAAAAAATGAATAGAAAAAGACTGTCAATATATCCCATGTCAATGAAACTGAAAAGCTCCAAGCTGTTTTTTGCAGAAAGAATTTTTTGTAGTGGTTTCTCATCTGTCATGATTTGTAAAAGAGCAACTCACTTTGCTGTTCCCACCCAGGGGAAGCTCTGCTGGACCAGGAGGTGACAGTCAGCTACGTGTACTCGTCACCCGCACTCCGATGCATACAGACAGCCCAACACGTACTGCAGGGTAAGGCAGCAAAACCAGCCAGCTGCTTTTGCCACAATGGAAATGTCTTTGTCAAACTTCTGTGAAGTCTCTGAGATGAGCGACTAAGAAGATGTACGACTTTGTGGTTATTGGTTGTTATATTTAAGCAGGGAAGACAGGACGGTTTTGTCTAGCTGGTAACATGGGCAGTAACAAACCTGCTGCCGTGTGTGTGGTCTGGAGTGTATGATCCCGTTAACTCCAGCCCTCACTAGTTAAAATGGAAGCTAATGTTATATCAAACAGAGGTGTTTCACATCAGGTTGAATCCAACATTAGCAGCTGCCACCTCTTCCAGAACATATTCTCAGCCAAAAAGCAAAAGTTTCCAGTGTGGATGTGGCGCTTCAGGACATGGTTTAGGGGACATGGTGGCGCTGGATTAATGGTTGGACTTGATGATCTTGAAGGTCCTTTCCAACCTTAGTGATTCGGTGATTCTGTGAATCAGGGAAGACAGCCTTTTCCTGAAAGCATATTCCTTTGCAAGGCAAACTTTCTTAATTCCTTCACATTACAGAACCTCTTTCCTTCTCCTTCTCCCCCTCCCTCTCCTTCTCCTTCTCCCCCTCTCTCTCCTTTTCTTCTTTTTTCCTCTCTTGTCCCCCCCAACAGCTCTGTCAGAGGTTCACAGTTCTTTATCCTGTTTACATCAGAATCATGATGGGAGTGCGTTTCTTCTGGGAACTAGTGCCACTCAGTAACCTCTCTTGGGAATAATCAACAAAATAATGTGTTTTTTGACAAGAGAATTCCATTTCTAATACTGTAGGACAATTTATTGCCCCACCGAGGACCACTGAGCAAAACGCTATATAAAAATGTTAAAAACATTTCCAGTCTAAAATTTATTCAGATTGCAACGTTACTGAGGTCTTTTCTTCTATTCTTTCCCATATCTTGCAGATCATCACAAGAGAGCTCCAGAAATAATAATAATAATAATAATAATAATTAATAACAATAATAATAATAATAATAATAATAATAATAATAATAATAATAATAATAATAATAATAATAATAATAATAATAATAATAATAATAATAATGACGACATAATAATTTGTAGTGCCTTAACATTAGTCAGACAAGAATATAATGTTGGCTTCATTTAATCAACATGATCATCCTTTGTTCAACAATAACTAATTCTTTTTCGTTAATGAAGACATTACAGTGAACAAGGTAGAATGTACAGCACAAATGTAACACTTCAAGTGTACCTTTCTTTTCTTAATAACTACTTCTTATTCTTGCAGGGCTTAAATTAGATCAAAAAGTCAAAATCAGGGTGGAACCAGGACTGTTTGAATGGACCAAGTGGGAAGCAAGCAGAGTAGTCCCTGACTTCATGACTGTGACAGAACTGGCAGAGGCCTCTTACAGAATAGACACAAGTTACAGGTAATTGCTCTGTGTCTAGGTGCTAAAGCCATATTTTTTCTTTTCCCTGAGGTATCTCTTCACCTTTTTATTTGTCATAAACCATCATGAACACTGCAAAAAACGAGTGATTCCAATCAAATTCAAGTCTGCATGACCTGTTCCCAAAACAGGATATGCTGCTGTCAGCTATCTTGTGCCAAGAGCCAAGTGTCTTTGCTACTCTGACACAGGGACACACACGCACACTTGGGAAAGTGCACGCACGGAGCGCGTCTGATGCGCACCTGACGCGTGCGCGTGGGACCAGCGTGAATAACGTGCTGGTTTTCAGCGACGGAGAGGTGTGACTTTAGACGAGGTCGGTAAGCCTGTGCGCAGGGTCTGCAGGGCGGCAGCCAGAGGCAGAGGATGAGCCCAGGCTGGGAGGTGGCAGGGAGCACAGCTCCTCGCCTGAAACGTCCCTGTTTGTGTCGCTGTCCCCTCTGCTACAAGAGGAAGGGAAAGGAGAGGGCCACCCCGTGCACCCCAGGGCAGAGCCACACAGGGTCTGGGGAGGGAGAGGTGAGCCCGACACGAGCCAGCTGTCCTGATTTGGGGGGCAGGCAGGATAACCCCTTTCACTACAATTGACGTTTGTGCCAAATTCAGTCGGGGAGGGGGCTTGTCCTGTTCTGAGTTGCTCAGAGATCAGTACTGTGCTCAGCAAGGACTTTTTGGGGCCCTCACAGCTTGGAGGGGTGATGCCTTTTCTGAGTGCTTGCAAACCACAGCAGGGCAGGAAATGATAAGCCTCCAGTTCAATCTAGCTCCCCATCTTGCTCACAAACCAGGCTGCTCTGTGTTTGCAGCGCACAGCCAGATTCAGGAAATTACTCAGCTAATAAAAGAGAGTGTCTCTGGGGTTTCCTACATACACAAGAAAGGGGGAAGGAAACTTCTCGTGTCTTAATTTGTTTCTTACAGCCAAGCAAGTGTCTTCATTTGAAATTGCATGAAGGGTCATAGTGGTTTCTGGTGTGTGTTACCATGGACAGACTGTTGTCCCTATTTTTTTCCATACAGAATCATTTGCCTCAAACTTCCACACAGGAAAAGGTGAAAATGCAGAGCAAGTTCAGAGGGGAAGTTCTGAAGCAGAGAAAACTACAGGGTTCAGACCCCTCACAGCTCACTCAGGTCCAGGCAAAAATAGAGTGTATGAGCTATAACCTTGCATATATGGTGCCTGTTTCTTCCTGTCACATGCAGGGTTCCAAATCCTCAGGTCCCAGGGGCTGGTTTTACCATATTCACCCACTCCAAATGACAGTCTTCAACTAGGTTAAGTCCCTTGATCATTCCCTGTCAGCAGTGGACCTGACACAAATTCTGTTTCCAGTGCCACTAAGAGACAACGTGAGTCGTGCTGAAACATTTGCTGCCCACGCATTGTGTGCGGAGATGAAATCACCTTGAGGTTCACAGCACCCAGTGGCAAACATCCCAAGTTGGGCACCCAGACTGTGATGGTTAGCTAGCAGCCTTCTTGTTGGTGGAAAGACGGCAACTCCCAAGACTGTGATTTTTCATATTAGATAGGCTATGTCAGGCACTTAAGATAGCATGATCACCCTCTGAAGGGGCTTACTTGGCTCCATTGAGCTAGCCAGACATGTGAGTTGTAGACAGCTAAGGTTGGGTGACATGAAAAGCTGGACATGAGCTGGCAATGTGCGCTCGCAGCCCAGAGGGCCAACTGTGTCCTGGGCTGCATCTAGGAGCAGAAGCGTGGCCAGCAGGTCGAAGGACATGACTCTGCCCCTCTACTCTGCTCTGGTGAGACCCACCAGAGTGGAGTAGTGCATCCAGCTCTGGAGCCCTCAGCACAGGAAAGACATGGACCTGCTGGAGGAGGGCCACAGAAATGATCAGGGGGATGGAACACCTCTCCTGTGAGGACAGGCTGAGAGAGTTGGGGTTGTTCAGCCTGGAGGAGAGAAGGCTCTGGGGAGACCTGATTGCAACCTTCCAGTGCTTAAAGGGGGCTTACAAGAAAGATGGGGACAGACTTTTTAGCAGGGCCTGTTGCAATAGGACAAGGCGTAACGGTTTTAAACTAAAAGAGGGGAGATTTAGACTGGATATAAGGAAGAAATGTTTCCCAATGAGGGTGGTGAACCCCTGTCCCGGGTTGAGAGAGGTGGTAGCTGCCCCATCCCTGGAAACATTCCAGGTCAGGTTGGACGGGGCTCTGAGCAACCTGATCTGCTTGAAGATGTCCCTGCTCATTGCAGGGGGGTTGGACTAGATGGCCTTTAAAGGTCCCTTCCAACCCAAACTGTTCTATGGTTCAGTGACCCCTGTTCATTGCTCCCCTCTTTTTTCTCTTGTTGGTCCTCATCTCATTTGCACTGTAGCACTCACAGCTGCACACAGCACTCCCACCAAGACTCTAGCCTGGGCTAAGCACTTCTGTTGCTATTTAGCCTGGAAACCACTTGGGCCAGTGCTGGGGATGCTCAGTTTTGCTGCAGGATGGCTGGTTAATAACAGTTAGTACTGAAAGGGCTAAGGTGCCAACAGGAGAACATATGTTAAAAAATTGCAGCTCTGGGAAAAGGCAGACTAGTTATGAGTACCCCGATATAGACTTGGCCAACCTAGCCAAGATTAATATTGGCTACAATTAACAAGCCAGCATGAGCTTTTCACACAGTTTCCCACCTATTTTCTACTTCTGCCATTTGTGCTGACATAATGTGCCGAGGACTCACCTGTGAAAGTACACTGTGATACCATACCTTACTCCAATACAATAATCTAATCTCACTCCTGCCTATTCACTGAATAAGGAGGCAACAAAATTGGGGTAAGGGGGGCAGTTTTGTGTAGAAAAAAAATTAACACCCTGTATTGTATCACCACACATAGCTAACAAATTTGCCAGCTGTAGCAGTGAACACTTCCCCTTCCTGGAGAAGATAGATTAACAGGATGACATGAAAAACAGATGAAAAATAGAAGTGCTCAGATACTTACGAGTGGTGCATTGTGATTAATGTCCTTGGAAACTTTTTTTTTTTAACTCTAGGAGTGAAAGTCTTTACTATCCATTTGTTCAGCTAACGCAGATATGCCTTGTTTGTTGTTGATTTTGTTTCGCTTTGTTTATTAAGGAGACTAGCACTGAGGTGCCAAATCTTGAAAGCATTCACATCATCAGTGTCTCACCTTGGTTTGAACTCAGTTGGGATTGCTAGACCTGAGCTGCTCTGCAAGTCTGCAGTCCGTACCTGGGCAGTGGTCCTTGCTGACAGAACTGCTCAAAGCACAAGCTTTTCTTAGGCAGGAATCCTACTTTAAATAATCCCCACTCTAAATTACAAGTTTTATTAAATCATGGTTTTCCCTGCATCTGGTGCTTTATGAGCTATGAGATTTAGCCATAAGATTTAGTAGAAATTACTGTGGGAGAAGCTAATGCTCCATGAAAGCTGAGGTAGCAGCGTATCAGCCAAGTCAGTAGATAAACCTATATCCCTTTAACCAAGTCTTCCCTCTGGTGTAGTCATTCAATAGGTCTAACAGTGTCCCCATATTCATCTAGATTAACACATATTTGTGATTTTATTGTCAGGGGTAATTTCCCACTCTCTTCTCTGGTGCCATCGGAAAGTTATGAAGAATATGTAAGCAGAAGTTCTGCGGTTATAAAACAGATCGTCACTGCCTGCCCCAGCAAAGGTAAAGGTTTCAGATCTTTGTATCTTCTGTTAGACACTTTCAGTAACAGGAACAGACAGAGATTTGCCAACAGAAGCACATTTAACACGAGCTGTTGGTATTGCACAGAGCCTAAGGTAGACTCTTAGGCCTTGTCCCGGGCTACACTAAATAAAAACACATGTAATTTATGGGATAGAAATGAAAAAGCAAAATTAAACAGAAAACAGGAGAGTACTAAATTGCAAGAGTATACTATTTGCTTGGTCTTTCTACATCAAGATGTAGCTCAGCATAAGAAAATATACTTTTCTGGAAAGCTTTTTTTTCTTTTCCTAGCAAATGCTTCCTCTCACTAGCTTGCATGCCTACAAAACACCAGACTTTTTCTGACCAGCACAATATACCCTGTCACATTATCAAAGAGGTCTGCAAAGACAAACAGCCCCGAAAGAGCCTCATACCCATCTGCTGACGGGTAACCTGACAGTGCTGCAGCTCCCTTACTACTTTTCTTTCCTTCCTTTGGTATATCAGGTATCATCCTCATTGTGGGCCATGGCTCTTCCTTGGCATCTTTCACCCGACCTCTGATAGGGCTCCCTGCCAGAGACAGCAACGACTTTGCCCAGTTGGTACTCAGCAGGAAGCTTTCTTTTTGTTTCATTATACTTTTAATAAGAAGCCTGCTTAATGCAGTGAGACATGCATGTAGCTGCATGCCAATACCAATGACATTAGCTTTCTCATGTAGTTTTAGCAAAGCACTGGAAATCAAGAGGAGGATTTTCTCCTGGTGAACAGTATGTGACTAGCAGCTAACTCTCTGGAGATTTTCATCCAACTTCCCTGGAAAGTCAATGCCAGGTAACAGCTACAGGCAAGAGGTACATTTGGAAGCCTCTCCATCTGAAGCTAGCCTCCTTCCTTTAGAAACGGGGCTAAGAGTCTTCCCTCTCCTCCCCATGGTGTTGTGAGTGTAACCCGCAGCTACATTCGCTCTTTAAGAAGCTGTATGTTTTTCAAGTCACTGTAAGTTCACAGCTTCAGTGCTCAGCTGCAGAATGAAGGGAAGGGTTCTCTTGTCAGCTTCACAAGTTGGTCCTGTGCTTGAGATTTGGTCGCCTCCGTTTTTTGTTTATTTGTGGTGGCATAATTCTTCACCCCAGTTTTCCTTACCGTCTGCCTTGGTATGACCGACCAGAGAATTCAGTCTTTAGATATATTTTTACTGCCACTGTCGATGCGTAAGTGGGAGTGAAAACATTTTGATCATCAGATCCAAGTATGGCTGCGGGGTGATGACACAAGCCCAGCTATCACCCCACAGGCCTCCAGTCTGGTTTTAGTTCATTTCAGAAGTGGCAAAATGTCCCAGTCTCTCTTCCCAGAACAGTCTCAGGGTCTGCCCGCTTCTGTCTCCTTCACATCAAAGCGACGACCCTGCTGGTAATTCTGCTGGTAAATTCTTTCCTAGATCCCTTCCCTGGGCATGTGTTTCTGTGAAGAGATTAAAGAGGAGAACAAATGGCAGATGGTCAACCCACCAGTGAAGACATTAACTCATGGAGCAAATGCAGCGTTTAACTGGAGGAATGGTATCGTGGAAGATTAGAAGGCCAGCTCTGCCTTTCAGTTGTCAAAAATGAGCCAAAGACGGATTATAGTTCAGCAGAGTCCAGTGATTCATCCAGAAGACATACAGAGGGTGGGAATTACCCTCTCTGAGTTGTCAAAGCACAGAAAAACACTTCCAAGTTTGGTGCCTGAATTTTGTTTTTAATTCCGGTGGCTGAGCAGAAGTAACCTAGGAACTGGTGTACAAGTGAGCAATAACTCTTTTGGGGGTGAAGAAAGTACCTTTTAACCTTTCCTGAGAGTACCAATGTTTAATAAATACAGAACTACCTGATTATAAATTCCACTGCCAAAGGCATTAAAGTAGACAACGTTGCATTTTCCAAGAACAAAATACATCCAGTAAGAATTGCTTTCTTTCATGCACTTGGATATTTTCAGACAAGAAGAGAAATTGGGACTGAAAAAAAGTCACCTCCTACCCAAAGAGGAGACCAGCTCTACCTAAAGCCACGGGGTTTCCTGTTCACTTCGCCAGTTCCATGAGAGCAAATCCTACACTATTTAATTCCTGAGTCATCCATATTGCAAAAGGGACTGAATGATTCCTTCTTGAAGAAAACGGAGCTGATTGCTTTACTGTTGCTGGCACAAAGAAAGATGTCCTGCATTATTCTACTGGTGATGAAACAGTGTCATGAGCAACTCTATCTGCTGAACACTTCCTGAAATGGCACTTGCAGGACAACAGCTTTGCTTTTTGCTGTTTTGTGCCAAATTGTATAAATGGGGACACATCTATCAGACAGGTCACCCAAAAGGTCTCTGTAGCTCTTTTCTTGATTATTTGTTTGGTCAAGGAAATGTAGCCCCAAAGTTTTACACACACAGAGGAACATGCCTTTCCACAAAGTCACGTTTCCTTTTTAATTTTCCTTTCTACTTATCCTCTCAGATGACTACCTCTGGGAAAGCACAAGTGTTTCTTTCAATGAGAGGAAAAAATTGAGGTTTCTTTTTCTTTCTTAGTACAACCAAAAGCATTTTCATTTTCACTCTTCATTTCCATGCTCCTTCTTGACATCTCTCTGCATGCATACCTTTAACCTCAGGGTTACAGCCCATCCAACATTCAGGCTTTGAAGCTGAGAGCCATCTGACAACCACCCTTGTCCATGGGTGTGGAGATTTTGCATCTCAGTTTTGCACCTGAAATGATTCATTTTGACTTTCCAGCTCTGGTGAAGCTGCTTGAGCTCTAGCTTTTCTAACAGAACTGTAATTTCAAAGTGAAAATCTAATGCCCCAGAGCCAAGACAGAAGCTCTTCAGCTAGCAAGCGATGCAAGGAAGGGTATAGGACTGCATCACTGGTTGCAGCCCAAGCACATGAGATGGATGGCTACAGATGCAGCCCCAGAAAAAGGTAAAAACCCCAAGTATCACCACGGCTTCTTCTTGCTCGGAGGGAGCAGGGTGCCACTGCAGCACTGAGGAGACCATGGTTTGGTTACTTCTCTGCATCTCACCCCGTCACGCACTTGCTGTCGGCTTAGTGGGGCAGGTGTGGTGAGGGACCGTTTTGCACTGAGCCCTGAAGGCAGTGGCGAGGCTCGCAGTCGTCAGCGAGGGCTGCGAGTGAGAGGTCTGGCTGAGAAAGGGCTGCACAAGAAGATCAGCACGTAGGGGAAGAGCAAGGTGGTGCAGGAGGGAGCGACGTCTCCACCTTGCACTCAGCCATGCCGGCGGCAGCCAGCAAGGGTCTCCCACCGCACCACCCGCTCCCTCGGGCGGGGCTCAGCCCCGGCTGTGGGGGCAAGCCCGACCCTCTGTTGGTGACAAGCGGCCCCTTTGGGTGCCCTGTTTACTGACCAAGGAACTTGTCCAAGTGGGAAGGGAGGGAGGAACGGTGGGGGCAGCGGGGCAATGGGGGTGGCATGGGGCAAGGACCCAGCCCCAGGCATGGCACACTTCTGGTCGCTCCCGGGAGGTTTGAGCTCAATGCCTGCAGAGGAGCCAGCTCCCACCTCACGTCCTCCCATGGGGCTTTCCTCCCTGTGAACGCTGTTGCTTTTGCTGTGATTTTCCCCGATTTCATCAAGCAATTTCAAGCTCTAAGACAGATGTCATCTGAGAAGCTGTTGCCCCAGACTGAAACCCCCATGTGAAAGGTGGTCTCAGCTCTGACCAGGGCCTGGGGGTGGGCCATGCCAGGGCTGTGCAGGCATTGGTGTGTGTTTCTGGGTCAAGCTTTCAGTAGGGATACAGCCTCTGGACAGGGTCCTGGCTCTGGTCTAACACATGGTAGCAGCTGTACTTGTCATGGTCCATACTACTGTTGCCCCTCACCTCCGAAAAGTTGCCTTTTGAGACAGCTTTTGCAGTCTGTGCCCCAGGTTTCAGCCGATCTGCTTTCAGCCTTTTGAGTTGCTCCAGCCTTGGGACTGATCCCTCCTCTCCACATGAGAAGAAACACAGGCGAGTCACGGGGAGTGCCTTTCTTCTCCAGCGGGGCACATGTCCATGCAAGTATATTGCATAAGGGGAGGTCTTGATCTCGGTGGCCCAGGCACAGATGCTGGTTGGGGCGAAACAAAAGCCCGGGTGAGGATAAGGGTGGGTGGGAGCAATGGTGGTGCTCCAGGTTCACGTGGGAAGGGAAAATGCCTGCTGCTCAAACGACATCCCGGAGAGCGGGGCATGATGGCCCACTGCCCGCCCGGGGACGGAGCCAGGAGCAGGTACGGAGAGGCAGGTGAGACCTGTGCTCTCCCCGTTACGCAACGCACCTGCCTGCGGGATATGGAGTTTCTCTGACGAGAAAGAGAAAAGGGAAACTTCCTTCAGGAACAGGAGTCTTCAAAGCCATTAAAAGACTGGTCATTTTTAAAGCATTATTGGCATAAAATTTCAAGTTCTTTCATGAGAAACTTTCCCTATCTTTTTAGTAATAAAGTTTTTTTTCCCCATAATATTCTTATATATTAATCCTAGATTGTGTTGCAAATACCAGTTCAGGTGAAGAATCCGGGTTTTCTGTTAAAACACCAAAATAAAGCACCAAATTACATCTCTCCCTTCAACCAACAGCATCAGAAGTGTTGTCAGGGTGGGTCTGTTGTGAAAAGCAACCTGTAAGAACAGCATCATCTCCTTTGCCACCGTGTGCAACACAGCAATGAAATACTTCTCTTTACTTTTCACTCCTTTTGGCCTGCAGAAATAATGTTACTAAAAGCCCGTTTACAACACTCTAACCCTGCTATTGTCCACCAAGTTCCTATCCAAAATGAATATGTGCAGGCTGCCCTAGAGGTGGGGTTGAGAGGGGAGACGGACACGGCGGAGGGAAGAGCCTCTTGCCCGGTGGGACCTTCCTTATAGGTGGGGGCATGGGGTAGGGTTCAACCAGCTTACCCAAAATTACCTTTTGATTACCCGGCATGTAATCAAAAGACCCACAGAGCATGAACAACACTATTTGCAAACTAAATACGCTTAATCGGCAGATTGCTAAGGCACTTGAATCAAAATCCCAATATGCTTTTTTTTCCCCCAGTACCTACGCACTCCAATGAATTTTACTTCAGTGAATGCAATGAATTAAACTTCAGAGCACGTGGGAAAAAGGGTTTGGGGACTTAAATATTTCTCTTGTGGTGGTTTCTAATCCAGACACTGCAGTGCTAAGCAGGTGAGGACGAATGCTTAGTTGCAAAACTACTGTCTTTAACTTATAAATATTTCTTTATTTCTACCATTCAAATCAATTGAACAGAAAGAACAGGGAGCAGAAACAGCATGTCATTGAAACTGTACCTCAGTCTTAATAACAAAAGGGCAAGGACAAGCACTTCTACTCACAAGGACCCAGCTTTTGGCTTTCCTGGGACCCCATGCGAGCACAGGTTCACCTCTAAAGAACACCTTTTAGGATCAGAGCTGAAATTATATCTTTAACATACAAGGGTTCTGAGTTGTAAAATCTAATGCCTAGGAAAGAGAGATAATTCCTAGTGTGGTGTGTTCATAATATGAAACTAATCGCTGAACACAGCTGAAATGAAGAAAATGTCCTTGGAAGTTTCAAAGTTGTTTTTGTAGTAAGCAAAAGAAATAGGAAATTCTTTTCTAGTTTCTTGATTTTTTTATGCAACTTCAAAAAATAGATGTTGTTTTACTCCATTGCAATTTTCTTTAAGTGGATCTGTTTCGTTGCAAAGTTATGTACTTTAATCGATGTTTTTAGTACTACCTGGAGAATCTGAATGTTTTGTTTATATCTTAAAAACTGAAAATATAAATTTTTTTGATAAAGACTTGCAGTGAAGTTAATCTATGGTGACACCTTGTGGGAAAACACAACCTCAGCTTTACATGACAAAATAAGATCTTCCGGTGTGATTGAGGGAAGAGGAGCAGCATTTTTTCACACAAGAATGCTCCTTGCATAGACTTTGAAAGAATAGTAACATAGACATGTATAATAATGTTTGGGACTACTTTTAGGCAGAACTGCTTGGAGAGACACTTGAGTCCAGTTCTAATGAAAAGCTGAAAAGACGAAAAAATGCTATGAATGTTTTGTTCCTGATTTTTCCAAAGCTTTTTCCTTGGGCCAGGATTGCTACTGGTGCAAGGCGTATGTGCAGTTCTGCTGACTCAGAACAGTAGTTACTTCTATTCACTTTGCAGAATTTTAAATCATCAGGCAGGGACTAAAGCAGTTGAGTAGATTTTTGACTGTCTTCTGAGAGCTTTGTTATTGAAATGCTCCAAAACAAAAGTAAAATTTTTTAAAAGACTGTATGCAGCTCTTTCTTTATTGTGAGTTCAGAAGGATGTACGGCTCTGGTCTTGATCTTTTTGTGCTTTCTTTAATGGGTGATTAAAAATTAAAATGTTCATGACTCTTTGAACTTGAGAACAGCACGAAAGCTTTGAACAAATGAAAGATTGTACTATGGGGAATAGGACAAGTTAGTGAATCACTTAATTTTACAATCCAGTTTTTTGTGGAGATCACAAAGGGTCTGGA